GTCCCCTTTAGATTGATAATAATATTTTATTAATAGTTAATAATGCTATAATAATAACGATACTATTATTGTTGTCATTCTACGCTGCCCAGGCTGACCTAGAACGGACTTAAGCAACAGGCACAGATGCTGTCTCTTTTGTCTTTGGAGCTTTTCTTTGCTTGTGTGTTATGGAGGACTAATCCTTAGGGTCTTATGACTGTACTTAGCTCTGAATTACTGAGTAATTCCGTAATTGAGAGGTGGTCTTCTTGAACTCCTTATGTGGCCCAGATATGCCCTGAATTGTGATCCTTATGTCTCACTCAGCTAAAGTATTAGGGTTACAGGTATAGACCTTCCTGGGATGGGATTAGTATGGATCTGAATTTAAACAGAGAAGTGATAAATACTGTAATTAATCTGAATTTCAGAAGGTAGAACTTTTGTGAGGGGTGGGCTGTGGGCTGCAACTTTGGACTCTAGTATCAGTAGTTTTCCTCATACGGAGTTTTAGAAAAACTTTTCACAGAATATGTTTGAAATTTAGAAGCAGAATGGTAATTTTCTGTGGGGGTGGGAGTGTACTTGAACAGGAACATTGAACTGTGAGTTTTGGACACATCCTTTCTGGCTGAAAGTTATGTTACACAGTGTTACAGGTTGTTTGCTGTATGTTACTAAGTAACAGGCTTGGTGCTTTAAAAAATCATTTTATATCCTCAGAGATGGAAATGGAGTTTGCTTTGAGGAAGAATATACATTTGTGGCATTAGTTTTTATTTATACTGTATTTACAGGAAGAAAGGAGGCTTTGGGACTGGTTACAAAAGATTGTACTCTTTCCCAGAGCCTGAAGGTCAAATCATAGAGAGCTCTTCAACTTGGGGAGAATTGGGGTTTCCTTCAGCATAGCTGTGCTCAAGTCTTCACCCAAGTCAGGCCATGTATGGGTGTGTTTACCTGAGCTTGATGGAAGTGTGAGTGAGTGTGTGAGTGTGTGTGTGTTATTCATAGTCAAACAAAGCTCTGGAAGGAGGGTAATGGAAATTAAACAGTGTTTAACTCCTCTCGGTTTTCCTAGATAACTTTTGGTAGAACCAGTGATTGGATTCTAGATCTTTTGAAGTCAGGGTTTCATTTAATCTTTGCCATTAAGAAAAGTAAAGAATTCCGAAGGTGGCATGGGAGCAGAAGGGCATGTGGTTTCTTCCACTGACATTCAAGTTCCATGTGTCCAAATGTAGTAATTAATAACTACGACGATTACATTGCCAGTGGCTTCCCATAGCACGTCTTGGTTTTCTCTAAGCACTTCATATGGGTTGTCCATTTAGTTTTCATTACTACCCTTACGTGTTTTGTTTTACAGAGAAGAAAACTGAGATTTAGATTAAGTGGTACCTTGTCCAAGATTGTGTAAATGTTGGATCTGAGACTTGGATATAGTTAAGATCTAAAAGCCCGTGGTCTGTAATGACGACGATGATGATGATTGATGCTGTGGTCTCACTCTATAGCTTAGGCTGGCTTCTAACTTATAGCAGTTCTCTTGACCCAGCCTTCTAAGTGCTGATGTGAGTCACTATGCCCATCCCAAATTAGACTTCTCTGAAGCATGTTTTATTACACTTAGCGATTTGTGTGTGCTTATGTCTGGGAACATGGGTACTGCAGCTCCTTTGAGGAGGCCAGAGGCCAGCTTGTAGGAGCAGCTTTCTCCTCCTACCCTGTGGTTCCAGGAATCCAACTCTAGTCATCAGGTCTGGTGGCAACAGTCCTACCCCATGAACCATCTCATTGCCCAAGTAGAGTTCTCTAGCCGGTTTACAGTACAACAAACCATTCCAGGGATTGTGCCCTGCTGTGTGATTGGCACTGTCTGAATCTTTGGTCCTTTTGGACATTTAATTTAATAGACCTTGAAGTTCCAACAGAAGAGACTGACTTTATCGTTGCTATTACTTGAATGAATGAGGTGTAGACCTGGAAGGGCTTTCTCGATTGGGTGGGGTCCATACAGTAAAGACCTGTGCCTGTTAAAGGCAACCCAGCTCTTCTCAGAAAACACACTGTCAGGAGAGTAACAAGATTAAACAGTCCACGATGTGATCTCTTTTTGGTGAAAGTATCTGTTTCACAACATTAATGGTGAACTTGGGAAGGGGTTAGACCAAACTTAGAGAACTACCCTGTCTGTCTGTGTGTCTTTCTCCCTCCCTTCCTTCTTTTCTTTTCTTTCTTTCTTTCTTTCTTTCTTTCTTTCTTTCTTTCTTTCTTTCTTTCTTTCTTT